GCCAAGAGACAAGGAAATAATCCCAGTTATCGATGAAATGTTTCTCAGAGCCCGTTCTGCACACGAGGAAGGGGGAAGCCAGCCCACCGTGAGTCCTGAGCAGCCCCCATGTGCTATGGCTCCAGCTGTACGGGGTCAGCGAGCTCCCCTCGCTCCTTCCCTCATTACCCCTCTGCTGCTGCCAACGGACCCACTCGCTTCCAAGCACTGCAGACTGTCGCAGTTTTCTGAATATTTCTCTGTAATCTGAGCAGCACCAGTAGGTTTTCACTCAGAGGCCTTGAAGTCCTTCAGTGTATCATCTTGTCAGGCTCATTTGATCTCACCGATTCCCTTTCTGCTTCATAGCCTTTCATTGGCAGCCCAAGAAAGTTTTCATCTAATTCTTGAACTCTGGCTTTATCCGAGAGAAAGGGCTTGGGCGCCATCCCTTACGCGCCTCTGGCATAAATTTCCAGCAAGTTTCAAGGAACAGGCAGCACGCAAAGCCAGGTCTGAATTCAGCCTGACTCTTGTTTTCCTTTCTGATTTATTTAAAAAAAGCAGGTGGGCAGTAAGAACAGCAACAAGACATCTCCTTGGGCAGCAGCACGGCTGGCAGAGAATGAGAGAGAAACATCTCCTAACACCAACCGCGGGCTGGGCTTGGGAAAGCGCTGCTGCGGAGCTACAGGGATTTCAGAAGGAAGCGGAGATGATAATTAATGCCTGGTTCAAAAGCAATTATACCAATTATGTTTTTAATCTCTGCAAAAATTAGGACTCTTAGAAAATGTAAATAAACAGCTCTAAAAATATTAGTCTCTTCCCCCCTTGAGCATCCTCCCCAGATCCTGGCTGGAAGAGCCACGCTCCCAGCGGCGCTTACCTACCAATCCTAGGCAGGATTTGCACGGAGATGGTCACAGAAAATTCCCTCGGTTTTGCCCAAGAACTGCAGGGCTGTCCATGGAAATATTTCCCCCCAGGGAAGAAATGTTCTCCCAGCACCCGCCAGGGGCCGAGCACCGCAGCCGCCCACGCTGAGCCCACACCAGCTTCCCTGTCGCACTGGCCTCCGAGCTGTGCAGAATTCCTGCCTGTCGGCACGGCAGAAAGCTCTGCTTCTGGCTGAGCGAAATCCCGCCCCGATCCCCGTGTGCACCAGCAGGACAGTCCCCTGAAATGCCGTGGTTTGTTCCAGCCACCGCTGCAGACCCACTGCAGCATCTCTCCACAGTCCATCCAGAAATGTCATTTTCCCCACATTCTGGAACTGCTGCACACTCGAACCAGAGGCCGTATGTCTGCACAGCATCCCATCCCATCCCACCCCATCGCCTCCTACCCCCATCCCCATCCCACCCCATCGCCATGTGCTCCCGCTGCTGTCGTGTGACCATAGATGATCCCAAGTGACGGCAGGCTTTGGGGGAGCAGGCTGGGGTACCTCACAAGGACCAGGCCTCCCAAGTTTCCTTGCTGTCTGCAAGGCAGGACATGGGGCTTGCAGCCACGCTGATCACTTTGGAAAATCCTGGCTGAATTTGTCTTTTTTGTTAAGCCACACAACCAAAGGGGTCACCGGGCCCCGCAGAGCAGCACGAGACGTATTGAGGCTCCTTTTGTCCTGCTCCTTTAGGGTCTTGTCATGCCAGATCCCGACTAACGAGCTCTTGCTTTCCAGGTTCAGCCCGTACGAGTGGTACGATGCTCACCCCTGCAACCCAGGGTCAGACGTCGTGGAGAACAACTTCACCCTATTGAACAGCTTCTGGTTCGGGATGGGAGCGCTGATGCAGCAAGGTACGGCCGCCGGCTCTCCAGCACACGCCTTTGCTCCTGGCTTTTCACATTTAAATTTTGTTTGCAACAGGAAAAAAGACAAAACATCTGAACAGGCACAGAGGGGGTCATCAGCACCGGCTCCCCGCTGCGAGGCATCAGTAGCTGTACCCAGAGAGCAAAAGAACCGCAGCATCGCCTTGGTGACACGCACAGTGCCACCGCTCCGGGCTGTCCTGCTGCCACCCTGCGCAGAACAGATCCCTCCCAGATCTGGGCTGTCCCGATGGACAGGGTCCCAGCAAGAGGGTTTAGCAGGATGAGTCATCCTCTTATCAGATGCTGATAAATGAAAAGAGCCGTGTTCTTTTTAACTCTAGTCTGCATCTAAGAAGAAAAATATTTCAAAGCTAGACTGCTGTCACGCCGTCCAGTGCATCACAGGGCAGGAGACAGAATGAGAAAGCAGCAGGATGTCGAGACGAACCGAAGCATCCCCCGACACCCAGGACTCCTGCTTCCTGGTGCCTCCTTGCTGCACTCAAATAGGAGAAGAGCCACACTGCATGCTATGCTTTGATGCCACACTGCTTAAAATTGCTTTGCAAAGCCCAATCTTTGTTGCAAATTCCAGGTTGGATATATCCTCTGAAAGCAGCTGTTTCAAACCCAAAGCTTTTTCCCGGCTTTAAAAGGCATCTTGGGCAATTACAGAAATAGCACAACCCATTTAGTCCTTCGTGTCTGCTCAACAAAAGTCATTCCAGACCTGTTACACCTTTTATGCTGCAACATCTCCTGCTTCCCTGCTTCTAACCAGTATTCAAAGTACTGGACTCTGATAGTTCCTTTCTCTTGCTGTTTGATATTTTTTTTTAAACCTTGTGTATTTGAACACACTCCCTAGAGTAAGCCCTTTGAAAAGTAAGCTATATAAAAGCAAGGCGCTTTTTAAATGGCAGAACAAAACACACATAAAAGTCCATAAATGGCTTGCTATTTAAATCTCATGAAAGCAGCCTAGTTAATTACTTCAGTTGGAATGTTTCCTGTAAATTGTGCACTGTACCCAAGGTCAGCAATAAAGGGAGAGGGTTTTTCTGCAAATGCTACAAAAACCCCTCTGACTTCTTTGCATGCAAGATGTCTGGATAATTTACCTCAAAAACAGCTGGATTTAATGACGTAGCTATTACAGTTTTGACAGTAAAACCTAATCCTTTATATATATATACGTACATACATCATGTCCACATGGATATATAAAATGGGTCCTTTCTCTCTCTTTCCTCTTCCCTCCTTCTCCTTCCCCCTCTCCCACCCAGGCTCTGAGCTGATGCCCAAAGCACTGTCTACACGGATCATCGGTGGCATATGGTGGTTCTTCACCCTAATTATCATCTCGTCCTACACGGCCAACCTTGCCGCCTTCCTGACGGTGGAGAGGATGGAATCCCCCATCGACTCGGCAGATGACTTGGCAAAGCAGACAAAAATAGAGTACGGAGCCGTGAAGGATGGAGCGACCATGACCTTCTTCAAGGTGAGACCAGGCAAAGCCTTTCTGCCGTCCAGGCACAGACGCAGTGCTGAGAACAAAAAACCAAAGCCCAAACGCCTCCTGAGCCACCGCCGCTTCTCCTTACAGGCAGGTTCAGTCTCGCGTCCTTGCTGAGATTCTGACCGTGCCTAGGGTCACATCGTGGCTCGTTCCCCCTCTCCCCACTGCTGACTCAAGTCACAATCACAAATTACATTGATTTTACAGCGCCAGAGACTGTACCCGACATTTGCTCAGACACTGAACCACAGCACGCGTTGGGCACAACAGGACGGGTGGCTCACTTTAAAGCCCCACAGAAAACACTCCCCAAAGCATCTTCCCCATCTCCGCACCTCGCCCACGGCCGCTCCCTCCCTGTCTCTGCAGTAACGGCTGCACGGAGCCCTCGAGGCTGTCCCAGCCAGCCTCCGGGGACAGAAATGGGGGCAAACGAACCCTAAAGCCGGACGGGTGGCACAGCGTACCCCCCCCGACCCCTGTTTTTCACAGCTGAAATATCTTCCTTGTCCTTCACATATTCACATTCGTCGGTTTTATTAACCTCTGAAACCCAGAGCAAGGTAACACCACCAGCGCGTCAGAATCCAATTCCATTGATTTCTTCTCTTTAAAGCATCATCAATCCCAGAAGTTCACCAACACTTGGGGAGGGTGCTCAGGGCATTCATATTTCACTATTGCCTCAAAACCAGAAAGGAACTGAGAGACTCAGGGAAGATATGGGGCAAACGGGAAGCAGAAGAGAGGGTTTTACCAACCACACCGGCAGATTTTGACTTCATGAAAAGAACTTTTGAGAAGCTATTTATTCCCTGACAATGCAGGGCGAGTTACAGCAATAAGCACAGATCAATTAATTTAGGAACAGCATCTATCGCTCACTATACATCACGCCAGAAATCGTTCCTATCTTGTGAAGGATGCTGTCTCTCCCTGCACAAACGCCGGGTTTCACCTGCAGTTTGCAGTACGAGTGTGAGCGCGTGTATGTGTGTACGTATATATCCCCTTGTACAGAAATGTTAAATCCTCACGAGTAAGTATCTTCAGTTGGTGAAAATCAATTTATTTTTTCATACAGGCTGGAATTGAAAATCTTAAGCCTGAAAGTTACTTTCTTGCCAATTTCACTGATAAAAAAGCATATATGTCTTGGCAAGATGCCTTGCAGTGCCTCCTCTAAACTATTCCATTAATTTATTTGGGTGACTGCTCTCGAAGCACCGGTTATTAAAGGCAGCGTCTGAGCTGCGACTCTAAAGAATTAATTCAGAGGCGTTCGCAGTGTCGCTGCAACGGCTGCATTCAGAGGGGCTGGTACTCTGCCTTTCCTACACGCGTCTCATTTAGTACCAACGCGGGTTTATGAGGATGCAGGGGACAGCAGAGCAGACGCCGATGTTATTTATCCTGAGCACAAGGAGAAGCCCCACTCGCACAATCGGTGGCAGAGGTGTAGGGAGGGGAGAGACACGATCCCGCTGCCGCGAACCCTGGCTGCGGTGATCAGCAAGCGTTAAACTACCGCCTTGGTTTATTAGCGATAATCTCCATCACTTCCAATGTTCAGGAGTTCACGACTCTGGAATTTCTCTGCCAGGAAGAAGTCGGCATCAGGCCATTTATCTTAATGCTTCAGAGCCACCAAGCAGTTCCTCTTCATTTCCCTTTGGCAGCAAAGCAAAGCTGCCAGGACGGGGACATGGGGACCCCGGGGGGGTCTCTCTGCCTGCTACCAACCCAGATTTTTTTTATGTAGCCCACAAAAGTAAACGGTGATGCCACAGAGAAGAAAACTGCACCTAGCCACAGCACAGCAAATACCAGTTCAAACCAGTAACTAACTCCAGGGAGGATTTTTTTTAAGGTGAATTACTTAAGCTGTAAAACCAGAGTCCAGCAACACAAAATGTCCACAGAAAGTCCAGCAAAATAAACACAAGTCACACGCATTCTCTACCAACTGTTAAATCACTAATACCAAACTACCACGCCCGATGGAGATGGTTTTGCGTCTTTGAATGGGATGTTCTCAGGTAACATCATCCAAATTCCCAGAAACAACCAACCGCCTTTGCAGGGTGGCTGAAGACTCTGCGAGGAGGAGAGGGAGAAGGAACAGCTTTTCCCCTAATAGAAAAAAAAGTGCAGTGGTGGAAGTTGGTGTGAGCTGGAGCCCGGCACGCTCCCCACCGCGGCTGCTCCCGCAGTTTCTGATTGATGACCGCTCTCACGACGACTGGCGATTGCTTCTCAATCGGCCCTTTAACGAACAGCCGGGTCTGTCCAGCCGCTGGGGCTGGGCAACATTCACCTGGAAAAGCAGCGCTCTTTATCTCATGTTAGCGAAATTAAACAAACTAATAGGAAATACATTCCCAGCAAGGAGCTGGCAGGTTTTAGAGCCGTGTGTCGCACCACCCTGCCCAGCAGAGCCCGTCCGCGGGGAAGACGAGGCCAGTGCAACCCACATTCCCTGCCGAGGGGCTCAGCCCTGCGATGCCCGGTCTCGTTTCGGCTGTTTTGGGCAGCTCTGGCCCGGGGGTGCTCCGGCAGAGAGGGGGTCACCCCGCCACCAGTGCCCTCACCCCGGGCACCCGCAGCAGCACAGCCCAGCCGGGAGCCGGGCTCCTCCCGCACCGCAAACCCAGCTCAGTCCTTCCAGCTGGCCAGAAGCGGTGATTTAAGAAGAGGAGAGAAAAGTGGTTTTTTCTCTTCCAGGGAGCCCTGTCTCATGTAATTTAAGTCGCCTGAAGAGCTACAATGCCTCATGCAAGTCCTATTAGCTTCACTAAATGCAGCCCATTGATTTTTTGCCAGTTTATTTTGCTCTGTGCTTTAAACTGGGAGAACACTGATGTTGTTTAAGAGCTCTGTGTCAACACTCGAGGAGCATTAAATGCAGGAAGAGGAGAGAAAGGAGAGCCAGTGAAGCCAGGGGCCTCTGCTGTGAACTGTATAAATGTGAAACAAGCAGTTATCAGCAAGCCGAGTAGGCTATTCATTTCAATTACCCATTGTAATGCACAGATATTTAATAATCCGTTTGGAGGCTACATTTCTTGCTGCTCTTTGAGGTTTGATAAATGCCACAAATCTACCTCCCAGGCACTGGCCCAGATTCTCAAGCGAGGGAGATTATCCTGCTCTTGAATGAAGTTTGCTCTGGCGCATCCCGCCCCGCACGTTCATCAAGTGGATTAAACAAGCTTTAGCGGAGAAGAAATGAGTCTGGGGTTATTTCAGGCAGGAGAAGGAGCCCACAGCTGATGATGGAGGAACAGCCTTTGGCGCTGTGCTGTACTGACAGCGCTGGGGCTGAGCCACGCGCCAACTTCTGTTAAATACCCTGGAAAATAGGAGGGGGACTGGCAAAGCACCTGAAACATAAAGCATCATGAGGGACTTGTTTCCTTAGCTAATTTACCCTTGTTTAGGGTGTCTTTATAAGAAGAACCTACGCTGGCATGTTTTGGGTGACAGAGAAAAACAAGAGGGAGGTGTGAGAGCAGCCGTGGGGACGGGCTGGGGCTCCATCTCCTGCTTTCTCATGGAAGGACAGAAACCTGAAATGGAGAGAAACGACAGCGAAAGCAGAGAGTGGAGGGAGCTTGTGCCGCAGCGACTGCTCGTGCAGCCGCAGGTGAGCAGCTCCCCGTGTTCGAAGCACCGAGACTTATCAGCCAGCTCCAGGCTCCTGCTGAGCAGGGCTGTGGAGGAGGAGGTTTTGGCTGGCTAACCTGCCTCTTACAAAATAAGAGACCTAGGAAAAACAAGGAATTAGGCAGAAAAGAGGACCAGCACATGAAGGAGCAGGCGGCAGCATGACCACAAGCCTCGACATCCCAGCACTTTTCCAGAGCCCAACCGGCTGTAGAGGAGAGCTGCGGTCACCCAGGGAACACAGTGACCAGCGAGGGGGGACTTCAAGAGACAGCCAGTGTCCCTTTCCTGGGGAGTCATGCTGGACTAGAGCCTGTTGTGTCTTTTCTGACAACCTACCGAGAGACATTTCAGAAGGTGGCCAGAGATAAATGGCATATTTCAAATGTTATGGGAAGACATAAAATAACCGTATTTCTCCTCACTCAACACATTTTCTAGAAGAAGAAAAAGACATTCACATGAATAGTAAAGCTAGAAAACATATTCCTCCTTTTTTAACAGAACGCCTGCTGATAGTGAAAGAATATCCATGTTTATTTTTAGCCTTAAGACAATCTTCTCAAATACTTCTCTGCCTCTGTTTATGTGGATATGTTAAATTTGTTTGGCAGTTGCACATATCTCAGAGGAGACAGGTTGCCTTGTGATGCTTGAGGAAAGACAAAAATTATAATAGAGTGTGTGCAAAAGAGAAAAACATGCCCTCTGAAATGTTCTCTGTCTTCACTCATTGTGCAGAAACATCACGGTTAGGAAAAATTCTGGGTAGGGAACTAACACGTTTAAACAGATACACTGATCCGCAAGTTCTGCAGGGCATCACGGCAGGGTCTCGCTCCACCCTTGCGAAGTGAGCGAGCAGTTCAGTTCCACCTCCAGGATAAGGTCTCCGGAGCAGCGACTCTTTGCTGAGTGTCTGCACAATGTGCGCTGGAACCTTTGTCTCTTGTCACGGCGACGTGAAGGCAAACCATGTTGGGCAGCGGGAGCAGAGATATTTCAGAGAAGGTCAAACTGGTCATAGTTCCATTATGTGATCTGTTCTCAAACTGGTATTACCATCCACTGCAGAGACACGAGGTTTCAGCAAACAGAAGACTAACTCTTATTTTGGGGGTGGGGGGTATCATTTTTCCAGAAATCAAAAATTTCCACGTTTGAGAAAATGTGGGCTTTCATGAGCAGCAAACCCACAGCTCTTGTTAAAAACAACGAGGAAGGGATCCAGCGAACCCTCACAGCCGACTACGCCCTGCTGATGGAGTCAACCACCATCGAATACATCACCCAGAGGAACTGCAACCTCACCCAGATCGGGGGGCTCATCGACTCCAAAGGCTACGGCATCGGCACTCCCATGGGTGAGTGAGAGCCGGGGGGGGGGGGTTCTCTAGGTCGCCCTGGAGGGGGACTAGTTGCCCCAAACACAACAGATGGGATGAAGACAGTCCCCTCCCAACAGCGAATTTCCAAACACCGAAGCTTACTCTGTCTGCCTCTTAAGAGCGGTCTGAACAGCCCTGCTTGGCGCAGACACGTTCCCGGCTTCGCGTGATCTTGGTCCTGCTTTCCCTCTGGGTTTAATGGTGTTCCCCCTCCCCAGGGTCACCGTACAGGGACAAGATCACCATCGCCATCCTGCAGCTGCAGGAGGAGGACAAGCTGCACGTGATGAAGGAGAAGTGGTGGCGAGGGAACGGCTGCCCTGAGGATGAGAACAAGGAGGCCAGCAAAAGAACATCGGCGGGATTTTCATCGTTCTGGCCGCAGGCTTGGTGCTGTCCGTCTTCGTGGCCATGGTGGAGTTCATCTACAAGCTGCGCAAAACAGCCGAGCGCGAGCAGGTACTGATGTCCTCAGTCTCCCCACACCCCCAGCAGCCCTCTGACCCCCAGGGCTGAAATGCAGCCCCCCCCAAAATGCCGCTGCCCAGGGCTCGTTGCTTCTGTCCTGTCTGGCAGCCCCAGCCCAGGGGGCAAATCACATCTGCTCTGAGCAGGGTCATCCACTGCTGCAGGGACTAGGGTAGTGAACATTTGCAGGGTACTTCTGAGCAAGCTGACACGTAAATCATGAAAACACAGCCAGAGGTCCCTGGGAAGGACCGTTCTGAGCTGTTACATCTACTCGCCACCATCACATGCAATTGTACTGCATGTTCCAGGTGTGCTGTACACACGCATGAAGTCTCCATCTCTTCTCCCCTCTCCCGTGGTCAGGGACCGCCAGGAAGCCTCACCCTATTTTATCAGCTTTGCACAACACTTACACCAACAGCCCATCCCACCCGCAGCGGCTGGTTAGGAGACAGGGGTCAGTGAGACGCCCGTGCACCGCTCAGGTCCCACTAAGCTGATGCCCTAAGTGCAGCCTGAACCCCCCACCTGCCCTCGCAGAGCCCAGTGTCAGCCTCCTCCCGCTCACAGGGCGGTTAGCAGAAGGCGTTGCCGGCAGTAACGGTGCTTTTCGTCCCCGCTCTCCCCAGCGCTCCTTCTGCAGCGCCGTGGCCGACGAGATCCGGCTGTCGCTCACCTGCCAGCGGCGGGTCAAACACAAGCCCCAGCCACCCGTCATGGTGAAGACGGACGCCGTGATCAATATGCACACGTTCAACGACCGACGGCTGCCGGGGAAGGACAACATGACCTGCAACACCGGACTGACACCCGTGTTTCCCTAGGGAACGGGAACGGGGGGGCGGGAGGGAAGGAACTGCAGCAGACGAGGCTGGATGCACTCTTAACTGGGGAAGAAAGGATTAAAAAACAAGA